CACCGAACGAACATGCCCCAAATGCTCGTCAATAGAGCGGCTATAAATGAGAATGTCGTCGAAATAAACGACAACACAACGCCCAATGAGATCACGTAAGGCCCGGTTCATCACCCGCATGAAAGTGCTAGGTGCATTAGAAAGACCGAACGGCATGAAAAGCCACTCAAAAAGACCCTCCCGAATCTTAAAAGCAGTCTTCCACTCATCGCCCGGACGAATACGAATCTGATGATAGCCACTACGGAGGTCGAGCTTGGTGAAGACGGAAGCCCCATGCAACTGATCCAAGAGGTCGTCAAGGCGGGGAATAGGAAATCGATAGCGCACAGTGATCTTATTAATGGCACGACTATCAACACACATGCGCCATGAACTATCCTTCTTCGGGATGAGCAAAGCCGGAACAACACACGGGCTCAGACTACGACGAACAACCCCGCGTGTGAGAAGGTCCTCCACCTGGCGCCGGAGCTCCTCGTGTTCGGCTGGGCTCATACGATAGTGCGGCCGATTTGGAAGAGAAGCCCCCGGAATGAGATCGATGTGATGTTGGATATCTCGAAGTGGAGGAAGGCCAGCTGGTAACTCTGCCGGGAAAACATCAGAGAATTCCTCGAGCAAGGGCCGAATAACGTCTGGAATGGGATTGTCGCCCACAATATCTGCACCGAGGAGAAGCAAAACAACCGAAGCCCCTTCCATTTCGCCCAAAAAGGAGGCCCGAGAGAGAAAGAGGACCGGGGCCGAAGAACCACTAGAAACCGGGCGAGGAGGGGACGGATGCAGAACCATGCGAGAACCGTCGAACAAGAAGCTGTAAGTGTTGAGACGGCCATCGTAAGACACTGCACGATCAAACTGCCATGGACGACCCAATAATAGATGACATGCGTCCATAGGGACCACGTCACACCACGCCGTGTCCCGGTACTTGGGACCAATCGAAAAATGCACCAAAACACGCCGAGTGACCTGTACAGAGTTACCCTTCTGAATCCAAGCTAATGTATAGGGATGAGGATGCGGCTCGGAGGATAAGTGAAGACGCTCAACCGCATCTTGAGCGACCACATTTTCACAGGACCCTGTATCAATAATGAAGCGGCAGACACGACCACCCACAGTACACGTAGACTCAAAAAGATTATGGCGTTGTAGAGAGTCCTCAGTAGAAGCCCGAGGCGATAAACAGGAGCGCCGTAAAATCAACGCGTGCCCCACATCGCCGTGAATATGCTCCTCAGCCGGCTCGGGCTCGTCATCATAAACCGGCGGACCATCATAACCCGCCTCCTCATGTCCGTAAGTATCAAAATCAGCCACCAAAGTACGGGAACCGGCACGGCGGGGACAGGCCGTTTGGCGATGGCCCGATTCCCCGCAAGAAAAACACCTCATACCACCTCCTGTCCGAGAACCGTCCGTACCAGGTTGACTGGAAAAACCCACAGCCGTGCTCGTCGATCCACCCGGAGGCAAATTTCCCGTCGGGCCCGGCGTGTAGCTGCGACCTGTTTGTGGAGCCCCCGAAGCCGGAGACCGGGCAGGCGCTGAAGCCGAGGACGACGGCTGACCGGTGCGCCAACTAGAACCCGGCGCCGAAGGAGCACGGCGGGCCTGCTGTTGCTCGACAAGTAAGGCCCGTTGATGAGCGGCCGACACCGTGTCCGGCGAGAACAAGTTCAGCGTGTCCCGAATTCCGACCCGCAAGCCACCAATATATCGGGAGACCAATTGATCTGTAGTTTCCCGAATGTCGACGCGTGTGAGCAGGCGATAGAACTCATCGGTATACTCGTCGACGGATCGAAAACCTTGCCGTAAATTCTGCAGTTGCTGGTACATGGTTCGAACATAATTAAATGGAAGAAATTCACGTTCGATATGTTTCCTGAACTTACCCCATGTCGCGATTTTCGGTTTGCCCTGCCGCCGCCGCGAGTCCTTGACGTGCAACCACCAGGCCACCGCTCGTCCCCGCAGCCTAGTCGCGACCAAACCCACACGATACTCATCCGGCACTTCCTTGTAGTCCAAGACTGCCTCGACCGAGCCCAGCCAATCGAGGAAGTCCCCACCATCGAGGCCGCCGGAAAATTCCGGAATCTCCACGCGGAAAGAAGTCTCCCAGCGGCGATCGGCGGCCGCTGCTTCTTCGACCCGTGGCTCCTCCCGACCGAACGGATTAAACGCCTCCTCCGTGGCATCAGAATCATCGCCGTCCTCCTCCGTACGCGGCGTTCGCTGCCTGCCACCAAATCGCGCGTGGCCGCGACCCCCACGGCCACCACGATACCCACCGCGACCACCATCCCGATCGTCGGGCCCGCCGCGGTTCGTTTGATCACGTCGCATGAGCAGTTGCAGAGCATCGCGAAGATCAGCCATGCCCGCCGTGAGGTCTGCCAAATCGCGGCTCATCTCCTCGCCGTGCCGCGTTAGGGCATCAATCGCCGCGTCCCTCCGGTCGTCTGCGGGATCGTTCCTCTTGGGCGGCATCTCGGATCGTAGCTAACTCTGAGTACCAACTGATGTAGCGCAGCAATTAAACGAAAGGGAACAAGATGAGAAAACTCAATCTGATAATTTTTATTCGTAAAAGTCCGTCTCTCTTTGAAGAAGAAAAGACAATATATAGAGACCTATCAAGCTAAATCCCTAATTTCCTAAATAAATAAAATCCCAAAGGAAATAAAATATTCATCTACTAAGTAGGAAAAGGAAATAAAGCAGAATAATAAAATAAGTAGAAAAATAATAATCAAACTAAAGATGGTAAACGATCATATTTGTCCATAAATGCCATCGCGATCTCGTCTCCATCATTGGGGGTGCCAAGTTTGTAGATAGGAGTCTTATAATCACAATGAGATAATTAATATTTTTCATCTTTTATCTCAACTTTGGTCCCAATTCACAATTCATATAATTGACACAGATGTGTATCCAGTTACACACCACTTAGCATTACAAAATAACTTAGCATTATCAGCTGCTACCTGAAAGCACGAAACTATACTACCTCCACGATTCGAACACAATCCAGGGAGAAAAAAACGAATAAATAAATAAATAAAGGTTGATTCATTACATTCACCATTTCCAGATATCCCACAGCATGGCTTTTCACTGGGATGTTCATTCATCAATGATCCTTAGTATTCAAAAATCTTTTTAAGATTGCCCTTAAGAAAAACCTTAATCAGCAGTCAATCAAGCAATATATCCATATAATCACTACTCTTTTGGATTAGCTGTCCCATTTCCACCTTCGGCCAGCTTCTTCAAGAAGCTTCGCACGAGCTTGGCTCTTCTTCGCCTCATCCTCGACCCAAGACCTGCAGATATATTTTTTTTTTTAAATGGTCAATCGGAAAAGTTCACAACAGGGATGCATATGTTTTATACCAGATTATAGTTCTTTAATCAGCTTCAGCAAATAGCCAAATATCAGCTTCAGCATATGTTTCTTTAGTCAGTGAATTATTTTATTTTTAAAAAAAAATCAAGGGTGTCATTGTAATTATCAGATATAGCAGGGTCTCTCATAATTTGGCTACACCTCAAATATAATGCACAATTTTTTTGGGGGGTAATCAAGCCTAGATATGATTTGGTTTTAAGAAATCAAATTGCAAATTTGCTTGGACTTTTGCACTGTAGCCCTCTTCATAAAGCTTTGCCCCATACCTTTTTTCCCATATAAAATAAATAAAATATATAGGAAAATAGAGAACAAAATGATACATCAACAGAATCTAAGCATATCACCTCAATATCTTTAGTGCCTCTATTTCGGCTTCCAGTATAGATTTCTCATCGAGCAAAACTTCCAGTTTCAACTGTAAATCGCGCCTCGTATTCTGTACTTCAACCTGCTCAACAACATAATTCTCCTTCTCAAGTTCAAGTTTTTTGGACATATCCGCAATTTCGGCTTTTAAACTCGAAAGCAATTTTTCTTGACAATTCAAAGCTGCCTTCTGCCTCATTATTTCGGCTAAAGCATTCTCTTGAAACATTTTTTCCTGTTCAAAAGCAATTACAGCTTCAATGTAGCTAATTTCAACTTCCGAGCCACGATTTTTTTCCTCCTCCATCTGTCTTTCCCAGTACTGTTTTATGTCACCTCTCTCTATAAGCTCGGTTGTAAGTTCTTTTATTTCGATTTTCCTCGAAATGTATTCGGCTTCAAGTCTCGATATTTCCTTGTATATGAAGTCTGTCATCCTTCCGCTTGTTAGTGCAACTGCAGCTTGGCCCTTTGTGCATGGTTTATTCGGTTGTAGTCGTTTGCTTTGTCCTGAGAAATGGTTCAGAAGTCAATATTTGAATTATTGGTATTGTTTTTGTACTATTGAGATCTAAAAATTAAATCTTGAATGAAAAGTAAATCAAAAAATTTAGAAAACTCTGAAAAAACATGAAACCTACACAAATCCTAAAAACAGAAACTATAGAATAAATGAAACCCAAAACCTGAAAGAAAAATACACTAAATTTGATTAAAAAATGAAAAAAAAAAAGGGAAAAACAAACTGTCGTTGGTAATATATAAACGGACAAAGTGGGGGCAAATGTAAGTTTGGAAAATATTTGGTTTCTTCAGTTATTAGGCTAAACTTCAAAGGTACTTTTGCTGCATGCGGTGAATAACGTGCAGCGAGCAATGACTATATAGCATGATCAAGAATGCAGAGATACAAAAAATCAAGGAGACTCGAGATAACCAAAAACTCGTCTGATGATGCTCTTCTCATCAGCAAAAATGTCCACAAAAATCTCCGGTAATGCGTCCGAAGAAATGTCCTTCACATCCAGAAAACAGATTTTCTTACGAGACACCTGAACTGCAAGAAAAGTAAAGTTTTAGAAATCAAATATTTAAAGAAGAGACAAAAAAAAAAGGGGCTCAGATCAATTCAGCACTTATTTCATGTGGGGTAAAGCAAAAAGTTTGAGATTACAATCACTCGTACCTCTTCATTAATTCCTGGCATGGCCTTATACTCTATTTTTGTCTTCCAACCAATCAGATCCTGGCGATATATAAACCTATTACATTAAAACAGTGGAATTGCTGGTCAGCATAAAAGAATAGCAGCCACTCTAGGGTTGGCAAAGAACAGAAGGGGCAAATATGAAATATGGGAAGATTTCAGGTACCTATCGGGTAAAAACAGAAAACCTTCTTCACCCAGGTTCGAGTTGGAAATGGAATTTCTATCATACAGTTTGCTTCTAACAACACCAGCCTCAGCTAGAGCTAAATGCAGGTTTAACACACAGTTCAAGCACAACAAGTTTAATCTTACTAAAAGCATTGAGTCATTGACTATATAATCAGAGGTGATTTCTTAAAAAAAATCTTACACTGAATAGATTCAAAATCAGGGTCTTCAATTCCCACATCATCGAAGGCAGTTTTCATAGATCCAGACAGTGCAGATGAGGTACTTAAACGGTGCTCCCTACTCCTGAAAACCGAATATAATCAAACTCAATTAAGATTATGATATGAATATGATGACTGATAAATAACATTATGAAAAAATAAAATATGACTCCACCGCTACCTTTCCAGATGTGAATTCACCCGAACTAACCATCGAGCATATTCCCGTCTGGTACATAGTTCGTCTGCTTTAACATCATCTTCAGTAATCTGTACACCTTGGCCAGAAGAATCACACATAAGAAACTGAGAAACGTATGTTGTGATACATTAACTACAATGTTGTAAAACATTAAAATCATTTCAAGCAATAGATAGACAGAACAGAAATAAATGAGAATACAGGGAGATTACTAAAGTTGCAAAAGCATAACACAGTTAATCAGTTATCCAATTTTCAATAAGAAACTATATTGATAGATAAATAAGAACGAAAGAAGATAAAAAACAAGAACTTGTGTAAATAAGTATATTGCAGAAAATAAAACATTATAATGTGAAGCCACAGAAAACATACCTTGAGTATCCTTAGAGCTGAGAGAGCTTCTTGTTGAGCAGCATCAGCAGCAATTGGAATAATAATACGCTCAAATTTTTGTTCTTTCATGGTCTGAAAGCTTTTATCTTGATGCAGTGAAAGACACATTAGTTAGAATCAAAGGTACCGAAAACTAATACATATATCGCAACAATAAAATTTAGATTATCTCCTTTAACTTGTTTGTTTGAAAGAAGAAGTCGGACACTAGGTGATGTGCATGAGTGTTTTCCTATGAAAGTACTTAAAATAACAGATACGGTTTCACTGATTCACGGTACTGTAAACTCTTTTACCATTCTAGAAACTAAAATTGATCTTTCCAATGTTCATTTGACCTTATTTGAACAACATAAAACCTAATATCAAATAAACTGCCGAAAAGCTTATAAAGGTCTTAACAGAAATCACCTGTGACAACAGATGAATCTGATATATCATCATCCATATTTTCCTTGGGTATACGAACTTCTTCCAACAACAAATCATGCATAACTTCTTCACTATTAGCATCATCCCTAGCAGTCGAATAGGGAACCGAAAATCCATGTAAAATACTAAATGGACTTTTGAGACGAAACGCAAAACCTGATGAAGCAACACAGCAATATCATTCAGAGCATTCAACAAAACTACTAAACCCAACAAGCATTAAATCAGCAGAGTCAGCTCCAATCGACATCCGCCTAATACTATCAATAAGCTTGACATAAAGACTCAACCTTTTTTTGAGAGTGAAAAATAGGCAAGTAACCCAATAGCTGCAGCAAGTGAACCTCCAACACCAAACACCATAAATGTAGGTAAACCTACAAATAAAAACCCATTTCAAAACAATACGATTTCTACAAACCTTGAACAAAAAAGTAAAGATATCGGACACTTACCCCTTTTTTTCACGGGCTCTGGAGGATGATACTCAGCCATGGCCCAACCATTGTAGTCGTCAGGAGCAATCTTGTCCGACGAAATCCAAGAAAACTCACGGCTGGAGCTTTTCTCAGAAACGGACGATAAGTAACTAGGTTTTCTGGGCCGGAGGCATAGTGGGTTGACTGAAAAACTGAAATTCAAATTGTGACGCGACAGAAATGGGATCGTAGAAGGCAAGCAGAGAGAGAGGGTCGACGTTGTGGAGCACATTTTCTAGGGTTCTTCCTCCCACTGTAAATTTTTGTTAGTTTCTTGATTTGTATGATTGGGCCGACGAAATTTGGTGGAGAGTTGCCTTCTTCATTGAGAATTTAACCACCATTTCTGCGAAGCACACTCCATTTCCGCATGACAATTATATCATGCGTCCTAAAGTTGGATTTTTTATGTGAATCTTTTTGTATTGAGAAACAAATTTACAATAATTAACGATTTGTTATAAAATGCGGGGAATATAAATAATATAATATAAAAATCGGATACAAATTACAAGATACTTTCTTTTCTTCTTCTCTTCCGTCACACAAATGCACTACATTTGTTGCCCTTTTATAGGCAAATTTGGCACACACTTAATACATACACTAATATAATAATAAAAGTGATAATGTTATTATTAGTGGTTAATTCCACATATTTACAATACTCCCTCTTGGAATTACCACTATTAAATGTGCGTTTATGCTGCTTCGTTAAAAACCTCTGGAAAAACCCTGTGGGAAAAAAAAAACCGAGATAAGGAAAAAAGAGTACAGTCGCACATACTCCCCCTCGAGTTATCAGTTGTGCAAATCTCGAAGATGTCTCATTCCAATATTGTGTACGTGCTTTCGAAATATTGTCGTTGGAAGCGCCTTCGTAAATAAATCTGTTGCATTATCGCTTGATCGAATGTATTGAACTTTGATTTGTTTGTTTCTTTCAAGTTCTTGAGCATATGAGAAGAACTTTGGCGGGATATGTTTAGTTCTGTCATTCTTGATGATCCTTCTTTGGTTTGAGCGACACATGTTGCATTGTCTTCGAATATCACCATCGGGTCATTATTGTTCGACAGTCCACTGGCTTGTTGAATATGTTGAGTCATGTTTCTGAGCCAGATACTTTCCCTAGTTGCTTCATGAAGTGCAATGATCTCAGCATGGTTTGAATACGTCGCAACTAATGTTTGTTTCTGGGAACGCCAAGAAAATGCAGTTCCGCCAATTGTGAAAACGTAGCCAGTTTGAGATCTTGCTTTATGGGGGTCTGATAGATATCCTGCATCTACAAAACCGATTATTTCATGTTTTTTATCATTACAGTAAAACAATCCCAAATCGATTGTCCCTTGGAGATAACGGAATATATGCTTGATTCCATTCCAATGTTTCCTTGTAGGTGTCGAGTTATATCTCGCTAACAAGTTGGTAGCAAAAGATATATCTGGTCTGGTGCAATTTGCAAGATACATAAGAGCCCCTATTGCACTCATATATGGTATTTCAGTACCAAATATTTCTTCATCTTCATCACAAGGTCGAAATGGATCATTTTCAACATCCAATGTTCGATTGACCATTGGGGCACTAAGTGGATTAGCCTTGTCCATATTGAATCGTTTCAGTATTCTTCTAGTGTAATTGGATTGATGGACAAATATCCCATTTTGGACTCGTTCTATTTGCAAGCCGAGACAATATTTGGTCTGTCCGAGATCTTTCATTTCAAATTCGCCTTTTAGTAAAGTGACTGCTTCTTGAATTTCATTTGTAGTCCCAATAATATTAAGATCATCGACATAGACAACAATTATCATAACTCCATATTGTGATCTTTTTATAAAGACACACGGGCATATTTGATTATTTATGTATCCCCTTTTTAGTAATTGTTCACTCAAACAATTATACCACATATGCCCGGATTTTTTCAAGCCATACAATGATCTTTCCAGTTTTATCGCACATAACTCTTTAGGTTTGGACTTTAGCGCCTCGGGTATTCTAATTCCTTCTGGAATTTTCATATAAATGTTAGCGTCTAGCGATCCATATAAGTAAGCAGTCACAACATCCATGAGACGTATCTCAAGATTTTCATGGATGACCAAACTAATCAAGTATCTGAAAGTAATTGCATCCATAACAGGGGAATATGTTTCATCATAATCGATCTCAGGCCTCTAGGAGAATCCCTGTGCTACAAGGCGAGCTTTATATCTTGTGATCTCATTTTTCTCATTTCTTTTTCTGACAAAAACCCATCTATATCCAATAGGTTTTATGTCTTTAGGTATAATGGTAATAGGTCCAAAAACCTTTCGTTTATTAAGCGAATTTAACTCTGCTTGAATAGCACATTTACACTTGTCCCAATCATGTCTTTTCTGACATTCAATCATAGATTTTGGTTCAGGATCCTCAACTTCTTTGTCAATTTCTTGTGATACCATATATGCGAACGCATCATCAATGATCTCATCGCGCTTCCAAAGTTTCCCATTATTTACGTAATTGATGGAGATTTCAATATTTTCATTTCGCTCCGAAATTTTTCCATCATTTTGATTCTTTTTCAAATTCGAATCTTGAATTTCTCTTTTCTTTCGAGGATTTTTATCTTTAGACCCCACTGGTCTTCCTCGTTTCAAGCGTGCCTTAAATTCATTTGGCACATCGTCATTTGCCATTTCTTTTGTAATCTCAATTCGAGCAGGGACATTTATAGCTGCAACATGTGATTTTGTCACCCTTTTTGTGTCAGTAAATGCATCTGGCAATTGATTTGCAATATTATGCAGATGTATGATCTTTTGAACTTCTTGCTCTCTTTGTTTGGTGGGAGGATCAAGATATGATAGTGATGATGTTCTCCATTCAATATTTCTTTCAATGGACTTTTCATTCCCACCTAAAGGGGGAATTTCTTCATTAAAATGACAATCATCAAGCCGAGCTGTAAAAAACATCACCTGTTTTTGGCTCAAGGTACTTTATTATTGATGGAGATTTATATCCAACATATATTCTCAACCTTCTTTGAGGCCCCAATTTTGTACGTTGGGGCGGAGCAATTGGTACATACACTGCACAACCAAAAATTCTTATATGTGCAATATTTGGTTCTCGACCATATGCCAACTGTAATGACGAGTATGTATGGTGTGCACTTGGTCTTATTCGAATTAGATTATCTGCATGCAGAATAGTATGTCCCCATACTAAAGTGGGGAGTTTTGTCCTCATTTTCAATGGTCTGGCTATAAGCTGCAGTCGTTTAATCAATAATTCTGCTAGACCATTTTGAGTGTGAACATGTGCTACAGGATGTTCAACATCAATTCCCACTGCCATACAATAATCATTAAATGCTTGAGATGTAAACTCTCCAACATTGTCAAGTCTGATTCTTTTGATAATATAATCTGGGAATTGAGCCCTTAATTTGATAAGTTGGGCACGTAATTTAGCAAATGCTACATTTCTAATAGATAACAAACTCACGTGAGACCATCTACTAGAGGCATCAATTAACACCATAAAATATCTGAATGGACCACAAGGTGGATGAATAGGTCCACATATATCACCATGAATCTTTTCCAAAAATAATGGTGATTCATGTCCGACTTTAGTATGTGATGGTCTTATTATCAATTTCTCTTGAGAACATGAGGCACATGTTAATTCATATGTTTGCAGTATCCTCTGATTTTTTAATGGATGCCCACTAGAATTTTCAATAATTCTTCGCATCATTATTGAGCCAGGATGACCAAGTCGATCATGCCAAAGTTTAAACATTTCAACCGACTGTGAATTTGTTGCAGCATAAGTCTCGATAATATGAATGTGGGTGTAATATAAACACGATGATAAAGCTGGTAATTTCTCCAAAACACATCTATTTCCCGCAATATTTGAGGTAATGCAAAGATATTCAACTCCCATTTATTCATTGTTTCAACATGGTATCTGTTTATTCAGATATCTTTAAAACTCAACAAGTTTCTTGTTGATTTTGGAGAGAATAATGCATCATTCAATATAAATTTTGTACCTCCCGTCATAAAAAATACGATTTTTCTAGAACCCGCAATTATCTTTGCATTTCCGGATATTGTGTTTACTTTTGCTTTATTTAATTTCAAGTTGACGAAATATTTTATGTCCTTGAGTATAGTATGAGTAGTGACACAATTTGCAAGGCATATATCTCCATTTTGGATTCAAGACAGATCTATGATCTAAAAGAAAAACAACATTTATTATTGATTAATGTCGAAATACAGATAAAAGCACACACATACAACAAAACTTAGAAAGCAATAAAAAAACATGATCATCAGTTATTCTCGTGGTCATTTCCAGCTCTGTCTTCAACTACCGCATCAGCAAAATCCAGGTTCAATATGTGATCGATGCCATATTCATCATCCACACGTGTTGAATCATTTTCAGAGGGTTCTCCAACCATAAAATTGGTTTCTATATTCTTATCTTTTGATTTCTGGGAATTGTTATAATTATCAACAACTTGTCTCGGAGCACGACAATTGCGAGCCCAATGTCCCGTCCTTCCACATCGATAACATGCCTTTTCATCATTATTCTCCGTCACATTATTCTGTTCAAATTTTGACTGGAAATTTCTCCCCCTTTCATAATTTTGGGCATAGTTACGGCCTCGTCCACGATTATATCCTCGGCCCGAGTTATACCCTGGGTGAAATTTGTGGCCTCGTCCAAATCGGCGATCTGAACCATATCCACGGCCACGTCCACGAACACGACCACAGCCACGTCCCGAGGTATATCCACGCACATGTGTTTGGATATTTTCATTTCTGGTTCCCTGTCTAGATATTACAACATTTATTTCAGGGACCGCAGTAGACCCCGTGGGCCTAGATTCATGGTTTTTCATCAACAATTCATTATTTTGTTCTGCTAGCAACAAGCAAGAGATTAATTCAGAATATTTCACAAAGCCTTTTGCTCTGTATTGTTGCTGCAAAAGTACATTTGAAGCGTGGAACGTGGACAACATTATTTCCAGCATATCGTAATCAGTTATGTTTTCTCCACATAATTTCAATACCGAGCAAATGCGGAACATTGCTGAATTGTACTCGTTTACAGTTTAGAAATCTTGAAGCGTAAGTGCATCCATTCATAACGAGCCCGGGGGAGAATCACCGTTTTATGGTGATCATACCTTTCTTTCAAGGCTTTCCAGAGATCCGCAGGATCTTTAACAGTTAAATATTCATTTTTCAATGCCTCATTCAAATGATGTTGCAGAAATATCATTGCTTTAGCTTTATCCTGTGGACCTGTATTGATGAATCATTGGAGAGATTATTGTTTTTTCCAATCCCCTTGCCGCCAAATGAATTTCGGCATCCAATGTCCATGAGATATAATTTTTTCCAGATATATCGAGAGCTTCGAATTCGAGTTTGACCAGATTTTCCATGAGAACTATAGAATAAAACATCAATACTTAGATTCGAAAAATTACATATACAATCATTAATTCTTAAGACGTATAAAAGAGCAAATAATAAACACATTATACAAACGTCTAATACATAAAATATAAATTTAGTAGAATGATACAATATCGTAAATACTACTAAAGCATATATAATAAACAATATAATGGTAATTATAACTAATGGATCAAACATTTTTTTTTTCTTAAAAAAAAATATATTTTGAGTGTTTGGATTATAAAAATGAATTGTAGTGTTATATATAGATATTAGTAAATAACCGCTGCAATATAGTCGTTAAGTAGCCGTTGGAAACAAATTAATGATATAATATTTGCTAGTTAATTATTTATGATTATAAAATTCTAATTAATTATGTATATTACCTTAAAAATTCACCGAGTCATTATGTAAACAACTTAATAAATATAAATAACAAATTAAATAAAAAGGTCACTCCACACTACTTGATAATTCTTTTGGTGGGTACAAGAATAAGCAATTATAAATTTCACGCCACATTACTGGGTAAACCATTTTGTGGGTGTTAAGTATAAGTATTATTTATTATAACTTGAATAATAATTCATAAGTAAATTTAATAATATCATATCACCACATATTATTGATTATGGCATAACCTAATTTGCCAATAATAATGGTAATGTGTAGATAATATCATATTTAGTATACACATATCCTTGACTGTGGCAGAGTCTAACTTGTCAAGAATAATGGTAATATATTCATATTTAGTATATTCATACCATATATCTTTGACTGTGGCAGAGCCGAACTTGTCAAGAATAATGATAATATGTATATTAGTGAAATATACTAACTTTATGTAATACATATACATATATATATTATTATTATTATATACCTACCTTTCTAACCGGGTAGAGCGCTCGTGCTGATAACGTGTTATAAAATGCGGGGAATATATAGAACACAATGTAAAACCGGATACAAATTACAAGATGCTTTCTTTTCTTATTCTCTTCCGTCACACAAATGCACTACATTTGTTGCCCTTTTATAGGCAAATTTGGCACACACTTTAATACATACACTAATATAATAATGAAAGTGATAATATTATTATTAGTGGTTAATTCCACATATTTACAATATGATTTTCTTTATAGATTTTCTTTATAGATATATAGATATGATGTACATACATAGCCATGGTTAGAGTGGTTTTGTAACAAAAAAAGTTAATTTATAAAGACATTTTGGGAATTACTAATTTTTAAAATATTACGGATAACCCAATAACTAACTCACAATTTATAGATTTTTTAAATATAATAAATTAATCCTTTTTTTGTCAAATTCTCAACCACTAATTTCTGAAACTCTAATTTTTCTTTGCTTGTTGGCTTTGAATTGCACTATTGGGACGTTGATTTGAAGTTAGGGAACTTGTTAGAGGCATCCGATGATGAGCTCGGGCTTCTGTCGACATTGATAGGGTTAGAAAATGAGTCGAGAATCGAGATGGATAGGGTTGAGTCTTTCGCCGATTTCAACTGTGAGATATGGAATTCCAGATTATGACTCCTTCCGTTGTGGATTTGGAGAGATGGAAACAAACTATGGTGTTGGTAGAAGTGATTATTACACCAAGGTCAGTGCCCACATTCGGCGACGTCCAGCGCCGCCAGAGCCTTCCAGCTCACCCACAAGCTCGACCACAAGCTGATGGCGACACCATCTAGTGTTCCTCCAGTAGGCAGGATCAACAGTCATCGCTACCACTAGCACCAACACCATTCAGCACCATTCAGGCCAACTTCACCTCGATCAACATCTCCTTCCCAAGATTCAGAGTCCGGCGTCTTTGATCCATCGCATTTGAGGGGAAAGTTTGGGTACTTCAACATCTAAGACCAATCCATACCGCAGATGAGCTCCGGCCGCCTCGACTAGTGCCGTAACCTTCGCCCAGAGGGACCCCGAAGTTTGATTGGTCCTCTTCTAGGCGTTGACAACCCTCTTGGCGTCCTCGTCGTTGGAGCACGACCACACCGATTCATTTTCTTTATTTCTATTATTTTATTTTTATTTGGAAAATATACAAATTTCATTAAATACCCTAAAAATCATTAATTCTTGGTCAAAAATCACTCTATATCCGGTTTAGGGGATAAGATAAAAATGTGGAGTTCGTATGATGTTTAAAAAATAGTGATATGGTAAAGCATGAAAATCGTGTTAGTTCGGATGACTCTTTTACCCATTGTAATATAATAAAAAATAGTAATTAATAGTCATAAATGGATTAATAAAAGAGTGATTTTTATATATAAATTTGTAACAAATGCTTTGTTTTTTTTTTTTTTTTT